TGACTAGCTGCTACGGGCAAAAGCCAACCCTAAACCTGATGCCCTAAATCCTGAATAGTAGTTTCCATTTTTCCATTATCCCAATATAACCCCTATATATCCCTAAACCGTGTTCCCGGACCTTGCTGATTGCTAGGCCACCGGCAGCTTGTTCGAGGGCGTGTTTGCTAAAAGATCTAATCGAAGCGATGTGACCATCCAACAACAAGCGACAAGCCTGCATCTTCTGCTGCATGTTCCGATTTGGCATACTGTTGTGGGCACGCTTCAGCTCCCTCGCCGCCTGGTCCAGGTGCGGCAGTATTCAGAGAGTGTAGTTGCCACAGGGCCTCCTGGCTTGCAAGCTTGTCCTGTGCAAAGCGATTGGATCCGTATCGCCATGTGTTGTCGCGCATCCTGCTGGATCCTGCGGATGTGCTGTTCAACCACCGCACAAGCAGATCATAGTGGAGGAACAGACCCTGAAGCCTACGGTACATCCCTAAAAACTGAACCATAACCTGCTAAACCCTCAATGCTGTGACACGGTGCCTCCCTTACCCCCAAATCTAACACTAGCCATGGCTATCGATGTACTTCTGGTCAAGGCATGCAGGAGGCCTCTCGACCATACCAGTTTTGCACCTGGTGACGGAATTGGTTAAGTGTCTGGGCGTCAGGGCTTGGGGTCTAGGGTTTAGCTAATGTATTGTAAGCCGGAGTAATTCGTTTCTTGGTTCCATGACCCAACAACGGGGAAGAGAATTAGAAGGGAATGTAGGGTCCCGACCAAGGAATATGACAGTTCATGCGCTGGATGCTAGGTTTAGGATTTAGGCAACATATATTTGTACATTTATTGCTGGGTTTTCGAAGAAGGATATGACGAACTATGTTTAAACACTGACCCAGGGATCCTATGCTTGACACTACAAATCCTGCCTGCCCTTCATATGCTGTAGCACGTACTTCCGCAGGTTCAGGATACTTACGGTCATGCAGGATTGTCCGTATCAACCGTGACCCTAAACCCTAAAAACTAAATCCAAACCTTAAACCTTAAATCCAAACCTTGAACCCTAAACCTCCGCACTGGGCCTAGGTGACTTATCCAGCTCAAGCAGCGCAGGCTCACTTGGGAACTTCTCATAATAGATCGTAGAGTTTAGTGTTTAGGGTAAGTTTAGGGTTTAGGGTTTTTATAAGGCTGACACTAAGACTTCTTCAAGAGCCCTTTGATAAGTTTCTTTGTACATACCCTTTGCATCTAAGGATTCATATTTGAAGGATTTTGGGCCCCAGGACCATATTATATACGGATTTTACAAGATTTTTATGCTTAGGGAAACATATGGTCCGAAAACATCTCGAAGGTCCATATCTCTAAGGTCCCTAGGGGTATCTTTTGAAGGAGCCTTCCATTACTTGCAGCTGAGCACTGCTATGCGGTCAGCCCCTGTTGGGGGATATCAACGCTTAGGGTTTTGAGCTCAATGTTCTTGAAACGAGCTTCAGGGGCATAAACGGCTTCAAATCGGCTTGCGTTGTTGTAGGGTTTACCTAGAGGAACCAATGCACCTTTACAACAGCAATGTGTGCCTGACGTCTGGGCATCCTTGCCATTCATCTTAATGGTGCTTAATGGTAATATGCTCCCTAAATAACCCCGCCTATATCATCTTCCCTTAGTGCCTACTAACCCCGCAAGTTTATGGTAGGTGCTGTGAAAAACTGGGCACTGATTAGAAAGAAGCATGAGCGAAATAAACATGACGCCCACCCTAAACCCTAAACCCTAACCCTGGGCCGCGAGTCATGCTCCCTCTCAAGAAGTAGGCAGCGTTGGACGGTTATCTTCTCTTACAAATTTAGGATTGCTATCGCACCTGATTTTTTCCAAGGCCAGCAGTCCCGAGAACAGACTTAGGGTTTGTTTAGCGTGTAAGGTTTAGGCTTGCCACAAGAGTTGTAGCAGCCTGCTATTCATTTTGTAATTTCCAAAAATAAGTGGCCCAAAATAGACCCCAATGCGCAAACAATCCTCAATGTGCTAGACCATAACCGTCACCATTGGGGCACCCCTGAGGAGGACCCCCAACTTTTGGAAACTACCATGACCCTCTGAGGGCAGTGAGGTGCCAGGGGATGAACCAGAGAGATCTGATTGCCTTATACTCGCTGTTTAGGATTTAAACTTAAGGGTAATTCCTAGTCAGTAAACCCTCGGTCCTGAATCCTCAGCCCTCATCGTCCTGAGCCTTGGATCTTAAACTGTACTCCATGAATCCCTGAAAGTCAGACCCTAAATGCCCAAACCCCCATGGGTAGCTCCAGCAACCGAGTTCCAAACGTGGTTGGATGCCCAGGTATGCGACAGAACGGCATAGCCTGGAACCTGCATGAAACTTTTTCAAGCTTAGGATGTAGCTTTTGGTTTAGGATTCCGGGTTGGAGGGGTCAGGGTACAGGCTTTACCTGGAGCAACCGAAAATGCGCCTCCAAAAAGGAAAAACAAATACCACGAGACTAGGTACAAATAAACACCTCCTGTTGAAGGTACATTGGTTACTCTAGGTACGGTTTAGGCATTACTATAAAGTTTCAGGTGTATAGGCTCCCAAGCCTTGGCGTGAAGGTTTGTGTATGAGGAAAGCCTGCGCGTTTCAAGCTCCCGAAGCTACGGAGCGATTGCCAGGGTTGAGGATTTTAGGGTTTAAAGCTTTATGCGTACTTGTAAGAAGATAGTGGTGAGACCAGCACCCCAACATTAGGACCAGTTTAGCAGTATCATAATGGTATAGCTATAGAGGAACAGTTTTGGGGTTGGAGCTACCCATATCCATTACTAAGCCCTAAACCCTAACCTTGTAGATGTATAATGGTGCAAAGGTCTCCTCCATCCAGACTGATCGGGCCCTCAACCCTAAACCCTATACTAGAAGCCCTAGCCCCTGAACACCCTAAATCCTAAATCCTAACCCTACCTAAACCCTAAACCGTAAATCCCTAAACCCTGAATCCTCACCCCGAAGCCCTAAATCCAAAGCCCTCAACCCCTCAACCCTAGCTTTGCCAAAGCTCCGTGCTGGTTGCTGGACGTACCCAAGCCCAAAATACATGCCTACGGCAGATAGGTTTAGGGTTTAGGGTCCAGGGATAGTACCCTCTATTGAATGACGAAGAATCAAATGGAAAAGAAAATGGAACATGAAATGGAAGCTGGGATTATGTAGGAGTTTAAAAGGTTAATACCCTAAACCCTAAACTCTTTCGTGTCTCAACAATAGGAACCCAAAGTCCCATGCATGTCTCATATCAATGGTGCCTCTGGCATGTGAAACCCTAAACCCTAAACGCTTGAGGGGTGGAGGGGTGAAGGGGGTAAGCTGAAGCCTGACCTCCCCCTGAAGCACCTAAACCAGACACTCTACAGCCTTAAACGCCAAAGCCTAAAACCCTTAAACTCTCAAAAAACCTATATCCTAAAACCCTCAAACCCCTAAACTCTGCAACCCTGAAACCCTCCAAACCCTGAAGCCCTAAAATCCTACAACCCTCAAACCTTAAAACCCTTAAACCCTCAAACCCTAAATCCTACAACCCTAAAAGCCTAAAAAGCCTGAGGCCCTACAACCCTAAATCCTCAAGGATACGACCATGGGCCCCCCGGCGTCGTAGACGCGGCCATCCACGGTAAGGTTCCGTCGACCCAGGTGCTGCGAGGGAGAGCTTTGGTTGGAGGGGTACAAGTACCCTAAAGTCATGGGTTCAGAGTTTGGGTTTAGGGTTTAGGACTTAGGGCACAGGGTTTGGGGCTCGGGGTTTAGAGCTTAGGGTTTGGGGTTTAGGGTTAGGGTTTTAGGGTTCTGTGAGCTACGGGCTAAACTCCTAATATCCCCCTTCATAAGCCGTATGATTCTCCCCTATACAATTCCCTATAGAACCCCCTTTAGCTTATATGATTCGCTAAGGGTCCGGGTTTGGTTGGAGGAGTTAGCGTTTGAGGGTTGGGGTTTAGGGAGTACAGTTTAGGGGTAAGATGGTTTAGGGTTAAGGTTGGGCGCTTAGGGGTTAGATGGTTTAGGTTTAGGGTTGACGGATTGAGGTTTAGGGTTGAGGGGTTTAGGGCAAGGGCTTGGAGATTGGAGCTTCGAGATGGCATTGGGGTTTACAGGGATTGGTTTTAAGGTAGGGAGCCGTTGAAACTGCGAGCTGCGGCACCCCTCTTAGACGTTTCGGGCCTTCGCTATGAAAGTGTGCCTGTAGAAAAGTAGGTGCTGTCGATGAGAAGCTGAGTTGCGTCACTTGCTGACACAAGCAAGCTGTTGCCCCCCCAAATCCTGGACCCCAAGCTCCAAACACGAAATTCGAATCATACCTTAAACCCTGAAACCTGAACCCCAGTCCGACCTAAACCGTAAAAATGGGTAAAATTGTGGCCCCAAACCCCTACATATAGCCCACGGGGCCATTATTCTACATACTCTGGGAGGTCCAGGTAAGCCCCAAAAGCATGCGCTGCTCCTTCTGTAGCAATGAGGGTGGGCCGTAGGGCCAAAACGAGGCTCTATTGCTCGGGCCAAGACCCCTGATTAATAAACCCCCTCCCCTTAATAGGGATTATAGGATCCTAATATTACGGCCCTTAAAAGGAGGGGGTTTATTAATCACGGGTCTACATTATGGGTTTAGGCGAAATCTCTGAAACTAATGCCGCAATCTTAAATGTAACGCTAAGCATTGTACTCTGAAAAGAAGGGGGTTGTACATACCTTTGTTAGGACACGCGAAAAAAAGTTGTGTACCTATTCGTACCTATTCGCCTGTTATCCTGACCCACTTTTCAAGTAGAGAATGGCACCTCGGGTGATGAGTAGAAGCCCTTAATTAGCTAAATGGCCTTAATATGGGGATTAGTCTTCTCTACTTCATAAACAAGATTTTCTGGGGGAGAATATTTGTCAAGATTCAAGCTTCTGCAGTTTGCCCTATGACATGCCATGCAGGCGCTTTTTCATGGCTCAGAAGAAAACGGCTGACGCGGCTTTCGTGGCGTCACCCGCAGTCGGCACATCCGTACTGACTTCCTGGCATGGAGTACCAATAATACTACGGGCTAGACGGGGAACACTGTTTTTTTTTTAAGGGGGTTAGAGAGGTGTACTTGGAAGGTCAAAGGGACTCTGTGAGCAGGTTGATACTTGGGACAACTCGAGCCATCATGTGGCTTATGGGGCTACATCATTTGCATACTAAGTAAAAACTTGCACATTCGCTGCGACCCTCCAAATAGGTTCTACAAAGCCCTAAGCTCTAAACCCTAAACCCTAAACCCAATAGGTTCTGGTCCCCTTTAAAGGGGCTCTAGGGGTTATATAGGCATGTTATAGGATATATAGGGAACCATAGGATTTAGGGTTGCCGAACAATCCGTGTCCAATGTGGAGGTCCGTCCAGCTGGGATTTTGGTGTTCTGGAGGGTCTCTCCTGGGGTTCCCCCTAAAACCAAATCTTTTTCACGCGCAAAGCTTGGAAATATGTTTGGTCCCTAACTCGTACACCTGCAACCTAAATGCTTAAACTCTATAGAACCTGAACCCTAAAACCCACATCGCAACACGTGAACCCTGAACCCCAAATCGTAGCCCTAACCCTATAACAGCCGGGCGACTGGTGCTGCTTCACATTCTTCGGGTTCGCCCCCAGGCTTTGTGCAGGCGAAGATCCAAAAGCAGCGACTGGAGGGTTTAGGTTTGGGCTTTGAAGCTCAGTGGCTTAAAGGCATAGGGTTTTAGGGCTTCAAGAGCACGCTGGTTCTTAGAAGGCCTCCCAACGGGCGAGGCACCTTGTTTCGGCTAGCATCCTTTGTGCAGTAACATAACAAAACCCAGGCCGCCAAAAGGTATAAAGCGCGGACTTGCAACGACAAACAGTTGCAAGCACATGAGAAATAAGAAATCCCTGAAGCGGACCCAGTGACCCAAAGATTCCGAGTCTGCAAATGAGAAACATGAAGGACCCAGAGCATTTCCAGGTGTGCTTTTCTTTCGTACTTGCACCTTTGCTAAACCCTGAACCCTAAACCCTAAGCCCTTAACCCTAAAATTTTAAAAGTAGGCAACAGATCGGCCTCAAACCCCCACCGCCAAGAAGGCGTTTATTCTAGATACCTTTAGGGTTCCTTATAAGCCCTATATATACTTTCCTAGATACCTGCTACATATCCCCTATGCGGCCATTACCCTACACCCTAAACCCCAAAGCCTATACGGCCATTATTCCATGTACATACTTTTGGGGGCCGGGTAAGGTAAGCCAAAACATTCAGAAGCGCCCCGCCCGAAGCCCCAGGTCAAGCTTTCCCTCTGCTGCATTGATGTTACTGTGGGTTTGTAGGGAAAAAGGAAATATATCAAGTAGAGATTGCCCACTCAGCACCAGCAAGTAATGTAAAGCAACTAAAGCTAAGCTTGGGGTTTAGGCGGGCGCGGTTTAAGGGATACAAGGGGTTTAGGGGTTTCGGGTTCAGGGCTTAGCCGTTTAGGGTTTACAGGTTAGGCTAGGAGGCTTAGGGTGTAGTTGTAATTGAACTCAAGTCAGTACGCTAGTTGACCGCTACCCAGTCTGGCCTCACGTCTTCGGCAACGTCCTTCGTAGACAACAAAAAAAGCATCAAGATTTTGAGCTAAAGGGTTTGAGGTCTAGGAATGCGGAGCAAGGATTTAATGATTGAGTCCTTCGGATTTCAGGTTTTGATGTTTTGCATTCAGGGCTCTCGGAAGACAGCAGTTACAGCTGTGAGCTGAAGGAGGTAAAAGCCGTAGTTTGCAGGCGAGCCAATGCACCATGGAAGACATAGACCCGAAACCCTAAGTCCCGACCACAAGGACAGTTGTCTGTCCAGGGCCCTTTGAAGGTTACCCTAAACCCTAAACCTCTAAACCTTGGGTACTGCCCCCCCTCAGTAACAGTTGGATGATATTTATAATACGGTTATATGTAGCCCTTCATAGGACCCCTAATATAGACTGCTACTGGGGAGGGCAGCACCCAACCCTAAACCCTAAACCCCTAAGCCCTAAAGCCTTGGTTTTAGGGAGGTGGCAGGCTACATCCTATAGAAGCACCCCGAACCCTAAAAAAACCGAGCCCAAACCCGATGCGTACCGAAAAGCCCCTGCATGGACTTTAGGGTTTGTGTGTTTTCTGTTCTTTTTTCCAAGGGTTTAGGGTTTAGTAAGACCGTTGAACACTGAAACCCCTTAAAAATCCATAAGCCCTATAAACCCTATACCTATAAACCCTAGAATTGTTTCGATGCCCAGTAGCCTTTGGGGTTTGCATATACAACCGAAACCCTAAAGCTTACACCCTCAAGGCCCGAACCCTACACACTAAACCCTACACCCTAGCTGTGCCCTAAGGGTCCAAGGACTCAAATAATCGGGTTCTAGGGCCCAAATACTATGATCTGAATGGTACTTGGGACCCAAAAGCCTAATATTTGGGTCCTAGGACCCCTAAGGGTCCTAAAGACCCTCTAAATCCTAAACCCTAAACCCTAAAACCCTTAAAATCCTAAAAAGCCTAAACCCTAAACCCTTAAAACCCTAAACCCTTAAAACCCTAAATCCTAAACCCTAAACCCTAAACGGCTCTAAACCGTCTTTCAGAGCTCCTGAGCGTCATCCTCGGCCTCGAGGTGGAGATCTTGGCCTTCAGATGCTGGGATTCTTTGAGGGTTTAGGGGGGGGCTTAAGGGTTTAGGGGTTTTGGGGGTTTAGGGGGTTTAGCCGTTTTGGGGGTTTGGGGGTTTTAGGGGTTTAGGGTTTAAGGGGGGCCCATAGACCCTAAACCCTGAACTCTAAATCCTGAATCCTGGGTTTTGGGGTTTAGGGTTTTGTGGTTTAGGGTTGATAGTTTGAGGTTTGGGGTTTAGTCAGTAGGGTGGACTTAGCAAGTCTGAGCAGAAATACGACTGACTCCTAGAAGCCATAACATTGCCAAGTTATCCCCATTCTTCACCAGGGTTACTGGAACACATCTAGAATGATTGTAGGATAGAGGACTGTTGTTGAACAACTTCGGCGATCTTGAACTGGAATTATGAATGTGCTCCCCAGAAGCAAGTCGAGCAGGGTCGGTCTGCTGATGGGAGATCTATGCACAAAACAAGCAAAGGATGGGGCAGTGAGAAAATTCCCGCACAAAAATGATCATGACTCTCCTTACAAACTACATACATAATTGGTGTTACGCTGATTCGGGTACTCAGGCAGTATGGAAATCACATCATGTAAATAACCGGGCATCTAAACAATGAGCTTAGGATACACGGCTTAGGCTTTACCGTCCTCCAACCCCATGGTAATATGAGCCATAGTCTGAACTCCGAGTATCCCCCTCAGTAACCCCTATCATACTCCCCTATATGGTTCCCTATATAACCCTCGTTCGAGGAGTTTAGATTATGGCTAATATGCTCGTCTTGAAGGGGGCTCTTTGTAGGGTTTCACGTTTGTTTGGAGGACGGTAGCCTCTGCGCAAATCCAGAAGCAACACTTATCCACCTCCAAGCTAAGAGGGAAGTCCTGAAAAGTGATCCGTGAAAACCCATTGCCCTTGCAACAGGATTTTATGGGATTCCATGTTAGGTCAGGCGGGTATATGCCTGCAATACCCTTAGTGACTAAACTAACAAAAACCGTTGTGATGTCATGAGGAGGGAGTGCCCTAAGATAAGGATGTCCCTTTCAACCCCCCGAACCAACGGGCTGTTGTTGCGCGGATTCTGAAAAAGAGGCCTCATAAATTGCAAAACATCCCCTAAGTTTGCAGGATAGAAACTGCCCAAAGGATCGGTATCATAGTCAACACAGAACTAAATCCTAGACCCTCGAGAGAAACTGAGTCTCCAGGCTTGGCGGCTTCACCGGCAGCCGAGCCACCTCAACTGGGTTGCTGTGAAGGAACTTAAGTTAAGTTACCGTAATGGATTTGTATATATAGGTATACAGTAATTAATAGGGGTTCCCCAATATGATAACCCTCAACCCTCACCCCTAAACTTAAATTAAGTCCCTCAACAGAAGCCGAGTCAAACATCAAGGGAGGCCTAATTCCCACAAAGCCTAAACCCTGATGATTAAGGATCAGGGTTGAGGGTTTAGGGTTTAGGATTTAGGGTTTTAGGGCTTGCGGTTTAAGGGTCCAGGGGCCTAAACCCTGAATCGTAAACCCAAAAACCGAGCACCCTAGGCTCGGTATGGGTCTTGGCTTGAGCCTGACGGAGCACTTGGAGGGCTAAGGAAACGCCTCATGGATTGAGGGTTGAGTGCTTCGTCTTAAGGACAGGGGTAAGCAGGTTGAAAATGGGGGGTGGCTGGCAGAATTCAAAGATGAAACTTGCCAAGATTCCCCCTAAGTCCTAACCCTCAACCCTAAACCCTAAACTCTATGGCTCCTAAACGCTAGACACTACAAAAACTCCGGCTTTACTGGCCGGTTACCCAGGTTTAGGGTTTATGGTGTTTTGGATTTATGGTTTATGGTTTCTGGGGTCTAGGGTTAGGGCCTTATGGAGTTTAAGGTTTACGCTTTATGGGGTTCAGGGTTTAGGGTTTATGAGGATTAGGGTTTAGGCTTTATGCGGTTTAGGACTTAGGCTCTGTGGGGTTTAGAGTTTATGAGGTCTAGCATTAGGCTTTATCGGTCTTGGGTTTCAGAGGTTCACGGTTTAGGGCTGATGGGGTTTAGAGCTGAGGGTTTATGGGGTTTGGGGTTTGGGATTTTTGGTGTTTAGGGTTAAGGATTTATGGGCTTTAGGGTTTAGGATTTGTGGGGTTCAGGGGTTTAGGGTTTATGGAGTTTAGGGTTGATGTTGATGTGGTTTAGCGTTTAGGCGTTAGATCGTTTAGGGTTCAGAATTCATGGGGTTTAGGATTCATGGGGTTTAGGGTTTACATAGGCTTTATGCGGTACAGGGCTTGGGGTCTAGGCTTTACGGAGCTCTTAGGATTTCGGGTTTAGGCTTCATGGAGCTTAGGGTCTAGGATTTATAAAGTTTAGGGTTGAGGAGCTAATGGGATTTAGGATAAAGGCGTTATGGGATTTAGGGTTTAGGCTTTATGGGTTTTAGGGTTAGGGGATGTAGGACCCCTATAGGGGGAGCCCTAGACTCTAAACACTGAAACCATTCAATGTAGACTTGGGGTTGCGCAGAGGGACCCTATTGAGCTGCTGTTGCGGTCACGGTGTAGAATCAGGTGCTAGGGCCTGGTACTGTCTAACAAGATTAAGACCGCAGCCCAAACCAAAAGCCGCAGTAAACGTTAAACCCTAATTCCTAAATCCTATAAACCTGGAAACAACGAAAATCCTTAATCCTAACCCCTAAAGTCGAAGCCCCAAACTGTAACCCCTAAACTCTAAACCCTAAATCCAAAAATCCTGAAAGCCCAACCCAAACCCTGGACCTGCACTGAAGTCCCTGGCCTTAATCCGCCACTGCCGCAAAGGTTCCTCCAAAACTGTTTGCTGGGTTTGGGTGCGTTATAGGAGATTAGGGTTTAGGCTCTACAGGATTTAGGGTTCAGGGCTTGAGCTTAGGGTTTACAGGATTAAGGGTTTAGGGTTTATAGGATTTAGGGTTTAACGTTTAGGGTTTTTTCCGGATTAATAGGGCTTTAGTTTTTTTTGTTTTTTCGGTGCTCATGTAAAGCAGGTTTAAGGTTTAGGGACTACATGGAATTGTATAGGGGCTACCATTCAGCGTTCGGGCGTAGGGTCTATGGTTCAGGGTTGACGTTAGGGTTCGTGGCTTGCGGCTTAAGGTGTCATGGTCAGGACTGGTTGGGTTCTAAACCCAGGCATGTGGCAAGCGTGAATAAGGTAGCAGAGAAATCTCCCTAAGGGTCCAAGGACAAAAATAATAGGGTTTTAGGGCCCAAATACAATTAGTATTCATGGTATTTCGGCCCTAAAACCCTATTATTTGGGTCCTTGGACCCTAAACCCTATATATCCCCCTATAACCCCTTTTAAGGGAACCCTATTATTTGGGTCCTTGGATCTTTAAAGGCCTCTTATTCTGAGCCATGGATGCAAAAGTAACGGCACCAGTGGTTTCGGGGCTGCGTCGCTGAAGCCTAGTACCATGCTTGAGCATTTGAGCGGGCCCTGACATCCCCTCTAAACCCTTTTAGGGTTTAGGGTGTTAGGGTTTAGGGTCTAGGGTAAATTAGAGTTTAGGGGTTATAGTTTAGGGTTTAGGGCTTACCCTAAGGCTCCTAGGACTATTTGGGGCCTTCTGGGGGAAGGTCTGGGCTTTGGGGGCTAGGGTTTAGGATCCCATTGTGAGGGTCCAAGAGCCTTAGGGTAAACCCTAAACCTTGGGTACTGCGCCAACCCAGTAACAGTCCATATTAGCGGTCCTATAAGGGCTATATATAAACATATTACAAATATTATCCAGCTGGTACTGAGGGGGGGGCAGTACCCAACCTAAACCCTACGCAGGCTGTTCCACAAGGCAGTCAGGTAAACCCCTTCAGGTGGAAGGAATGGCAGCCCCAGGGTTTGCAGTATATACCAGGACCCTAATGTTGAGAACTGCGCGTGTGGTAGGGTTTTCTGGCACCCTCCCTAAATCCTAAATTTCAACTCCTAGCCGCCTAGACCCTAAACCCAAACTCGTCAGGGTTTGCTGTAGCCCTTCACGCTGCATCCTAAGCAGCTAAGCTTAACCGCAAAAAAAGGATGCACATTTTCAACAAACCAGCACGAAGACCCTCCGTACACGCAAAAGAACCTGCATGTACAGCATACTGTCTGTTTGTGTATACTCCATATATATGTATATATGTATATGTTCACCTGCACCCTGAAAGTAAGAAGGATCGTGGTCTTGTTCAATGTTCGTAGGTTTTTCCAGACCACTATACTGCATACGCGCACATGCAAACTGTATGATGTACAAGAATTGATATTAAGACTCATAATGATAATAATACCTGAAGCCCTGGAAAGCCATAGACAAGAAACGAGTTTTAGGGCTTATAGGGTTTAACCCTAAACCCTAAATTCCAAACCCTAAACCCTAAATTCCAAACCCTAAGCCCTAAACCCTTGTGGGGAGGGGGCAAACGTGAAGTTCCCTTTAGGTCCGTGACATGCTACGGCCCCTCGTGCTTAGTAAGGTCAACGCGATTTAGGGTTGAGGGTTTAGGGTGTTTAGGGTTTAGGGCTTAGGGTTCATCATTTTGACATAGCCCCCCTAACCCTTATACCCTACGGCCGTTCCCATGTAAGTTTCCATAGTCTTTTCCTTTTGATTCTCCACTCTTGGGTTAGTGCCCCCCAAGCCCTGAGCCCCAAACCCTAAACACCAAACCCTCAAGCCCTGCTAAATACAAATAGAGGAAAAGTTAAATCGGAAACTCCGTCAAAAGTCGATCAAAACTCTCGACCTGAACCCTAAACCCAAAACCCAAAACCCTTAATCCTGAACCCTAACCCCCAAACCTTCAACCTTAAACCCTAAAAGTAGGTAAAATAATAGCCCAAAACCCCTAAAGATAGCCCAAAAGGCAATTATTTTACATACTTTGGGGGTTCAGGTACTCCTTCTTATATAATAGTACTTTCCATTTTCTTTTCCATTATTCCTATATAACCCCTATATTTACATACTTTGGGGGTTCAGGTAAACCTGTCCTGCAGCAAGTGATGCAATCGGAGGGAAGGGCCGGAATGCGACACCAACAGAAAGACCTGGCGAGCTTAGGCTGCAATTGTTGGAGGCTTACCTGAAACCTACAAGTATGTAGAATAATGGCCATTTGGGCTATTTTTTGGTGTCTGGGGCTATCATATACCTACTTTCGAGGTCTGGGGTTTCGGGTTTAAGGTTCAGGGTTTGGGGGTTTAGGGTTTTGGGTTCAGGGTTTAGGGGCTTAGGGCTTAGGATTTTAGGTTTTGGGGGTTTAGGGTTTGCTTCACCATTGCTTAGGGTTTGGGGAGGGGGTCATTTGTGGTGTTGAATATTGAAGTTAAGGAAGTTTGGGAACCCTAAGTAGCTAAGCAATGGTAAGTTTACATGGTCTTACGGGTTTAGGGTTTAGTGTTTAAAGGGTCTATTCTTTAACTGGGGGAAGGTTTAGGGTTGTAGGGCTTAGGAAATCAAACCTTAAACCCTTACTTGCTGGGGCTCGGGGTTGATTCTAAACATGTTATACCCTAAACCCTACCTGGACCCCCAAAAATGTGTAAAATAATGGCCTTTATGGCTATTATTATGGGTTTAGGGCTATTATTTTACATACTTTTGGGGTTTAGGTAAACCCTAAACCCTTACACATTTATCCTAAGCCCTACTTGTAACCCCAGCTACCGGCCGCTTCATAGGTTTTACCTCCTGAGCTGCAGTTCATGGCGGTTACAGATAAGCCCTAGGCTAAACCCTACAAGCCCCGAACCCTAAACCCTCAACCCTAAATCCTGAACCCTAAATACTACGCCCAAAGCTCTGAGCTGTAAAGGAACAGCATTCCGTCCTTCTCAAGCTCCTGTGTACAGAGGATTGGGACTAGTGCTTTGGATTGTAGACTTTGGTGCATGGTATTTGGGATGCAGGTCTTCGGATTTCCTCCATAAAAATTTGTCACTACCCAACCCTAAACCCTAACCCCTAAATCCCCTAAACTCGTACGAGTCCACTTTAAAGCCTAGATGAAGCTGGTAAGTGACCCCCTCCCGCTGTGGCATTGAACCTATCGCACCATTCCAAATCCCTTGCGCTGAAGCCCTAAATCCTAGGGGTTTAGGGTTTAGGGGTTTAGGGTTTAGAGTTTTAGGGTTTAGAGTTTTGGGGTCTAGGGTCTAGGGTAAATTAGAGTTTAAGCGTTAAAGTTTACAGTAGGGTTTTAGGGCTTACCCGAAGGCTCCTAGGACTATGTGGGGCCTTCTGGGGGAAGGTTTTGGCTTTGGGGGCTAGGGTTTAGGATCCCATTATGAGGGTCCAGGGGTCCAAGGGCCTTAGGGCAGGCCCTACACCCTACAGCAGTGGCACAAACTCTCCTATGCACCGTCTAGGCTCTCATACATCTTCTTGAATAGTCTTTTGCCACATTGTTGATCTGAGAGATGAAGGGAAAATCGAGGGAATACTACGGAATTAGATTCAAAACCAGGGGTCTAGATGAATCTAGATTCAGGCCGTGTTGTTTTTCTTAATGTGAGTTTGTAGACGAAGCTGTAAAACACACAAAACAAATCTAGTCAGGCTAAGAGATTGTCTTTGTCGCCGCGATCTCCGCTGTCTTTGATATACATATATATATATATGTGTGTGTGTGTATTAGCATATCCTCTTCGGAAGAATGAGGATACGCCGGAGTGGCCTCCATCATTCACGCTATAGGGCTCAGCGTTTAGAGTTTAGGGCTTAGAGGTTAGGTTTACATACGGCCCCCAATCCGTGTCTATCAATACATCACCCGACAAAAAAATCGGGCCGGGGCAGATGAAGGGAGGAAGGGGTACCGCCCGGGGGGCGTTTCGATGTTTGGGGAAACCTTCTAGATATACCTACCCTACATACTAAGTCCTAAATCAATCCCACAGCCTTTCAACCCTAAATTCTTAATCGTAAACCCTAGATCCTAAACCGTAAATCCTACGCCCGACAGCCAATCCACTAGAACAAGCCTTCATGAGTTCAACCCTATAAGCCCTAAACTTCTGTACCCTAAACCGTGTGAGTTGTCCGACTTTCCAAACACATGTCAGCCGCACGCCACCGGGCTTCAGAACCCGATGCGCCTCTAAGAGATATGCCTCAAGGCTGGGAACCGGGTTTCGGCTTTCGGGAAATTTCTCAACCCTAAACCCTAAGCCCTTAAACCTAAACCACGCCAAAGTTCTCCTAGCAATATTGGGAATGCCTCCCAGATTCCCTAAACCCTACAGACCAAACTGGGTTTCTGTCTAGCTTAAACCTGAACAAGCATAATTAGGCCCCACTACTGGGAGGGTCAGGGGGATTTAGTGCGCAGGTTAATAAGCCCTGTAACCCACATGATAACCGTACTTATCCCCCTTGTTAACCCACTTACTAATAAGTCCCCCGGACCCTCCAAGTAAGCAACAGCAACATAAAGAAACCCTAAACCCTGAACCCTAAACCCTAAACCCTAGACCCTAAGCCCTAAGCCCTAAACCCTAAACCCTGAACCCGAAGCCCTAAGCCCCAAACCCTAAGCCCTAAGCCCTAAACCCTAGACCCCAAACCCTTAGCCCCAAACGGAACCTAGGATCCCTGATGTGGACCGACCCAGCACAGCGATTTAGACTTAACCTACACCCTTTGGGGTTTTAGGGTTTAGGGTTTTGGGTTTTAGGGTTTAGGGTTTTAGGTTTAGGTTTTAAGGTTTTGGGTTTAGGTTTGGGGGTTTAGGTTTTAGGGCTTTGGGTATTATAGGGTAATCCCTAAAACTAAGGTTTCATCCCACCCCTCTATAATCAATGGGGAGGGGGGTACAAAAGCTAGGGTCGCTGCTTGGTTTTGGAACCTGAAAGAGGGATTCTGTTGCAGATTGCTGTAAATTCAGGCATCAGGGAGGACCCTGTTGCTGAACATTGCCATCTAGACCTCTGTCTAGGACTCAGACTGTAACCATACTGTAGAAGCTGGAGTAACTGCCCATATCGTGGGCGGAGATTTCGTCAACATACGGTATAGTGTACCTCAAAGAGGCCTCAACATGATGTTGGGAAGTATTCAGATCTCCACACTACACAAACCGTAGAACACCCCACCGAATGCCAGATTCCCTTCGTTTCCTACTGATTTCCCACTCTTGGAAGCTGAGCCCTAAACCCCATAGCCTAAACTCTGAAACTAAAACTGTACAGCAAGATTGGTACCTAAACCCCAAAAGTAGGTAAAAGAATAGCCCAAAACACCTAAATACAGCCCAAAAGGCAACTATTTTACATACTTTAAAAGGGTTCAGGTAGTTATCAGTTCTTAGGCTCCCTACAATAGCACAGCAGAGTCGGGAGTCCCGGGCCTGCACCTGCAAACTCCCATCGCCGGCACACAGGATTGTGTCCAGTGTGGCCTGTTCATGCGATTCACGTTTTTTTAAGGTGTACCTGGACCCCAAAAATAAGTAAAATAATGGCCTTTATGGTTTTTTTAAGGTTTAGGGCCATTATGTTACATACTTTTGGGGTTTAGGTATGGGCTTAGCCCTAAACCCTACACCCTAAACAGGGTTCATGTTGAGGTTTATTTGAGGTACTCTGTAACCATAACCCTGGGACCATCATGTTGGTAGGCTTCGATGTTATAGTCCCCCTTAAGTAGGTAGGATATGGGGTATTTGGGGATCTTATTATACTATACCCAAAGCCATATTCCAGCTAATTACTTAAGGGGGACTACAAATCCTGTACGCCCCGAATCTTAAGTCCTTATTTGTAAAGCCAGGCCTTCGTGCCCTAAGACGCTGACGGCCCCAAACCTAAGCCAAACATCTTAGATATGCTTGCGCGCTGAACATCAAGCAGTTCTACACTTTAGGTTGTAGCATGTACCGGCTGCCCCAGATATCATGGGCCATCCTCGCACCGACCAGGAGTTCAAACAGAATGGACAAGCTCTTTGCGGAATCTTCAAGGAATCAAAAGCACCGCACCGGCAACTTCGACTCGGGCCACCAGCAGGGGTCCGTGGTCCTCGGCCACACGTGGTCTTACGAGCAACGAGTGACCGTGGCGGCGTTCATCATCATTTCCGGTCCCAGGATGAGAACTGGAAGAAGAGGGACACGAGCCGGCAAGAGCCCCAAAGGCGGCAACATGCGGCAATGGAACAGTGGCGGACCCCAGCCACATGCAAGGGGGCGAGACATGGCGAGACTGTTGATTGCTTGCAAAACCCATAGCAAAAGCCCAAAACGCGAAGTGGAGGCCCAAGCCAAAAGCTAAAGCCAAAGCAGGGTCAGGGACGTTCAGGGCTGGGGACCCGAGGCACATGAAGCATCATGAAACCTTTGATTTGGGGTTTAGAAGAAGCTGGGCCCTACATTGACTACGGTGGATGGAGGATCGCAACATTTGTAACCCCAAAGCCCAGAAAATTACCAGTCTTGGGGTTACGCGGGTGGTGCAAGGGTTCCTCCCTACCCTAGCTTAGGGTCAGAATTTAGGGTTAGGTATAGGGTGTAGGGATTACGGTCTAACCCTAAAATCTAGAGAATTCTAAGGTCTAGGGTATTTAAGCTCCAGTGCAGGGTAGCTGGGGTCATCTGAGAGCGTCTATCTAGGTTTGGTTCAAGGCTTGGTGGGTTGATGGTGTTGGCGGGTTAGAAAGGTTTAGGGTTTAGGGGCTTAGGGTTGACGGGTTTAGGGGTTTAGGGTCATGGGCTTAGGGTTTAGGGGTCTAGGAGGGTCAGAGTTTCGAATTTTCGCGGCCTTTCAAAGGAAAGGCTTTTGTGGCGCGTGATAAGGCATGGGAGCTACTTGCAAAGCAGACTCCTTGAGAACCCATGACCTGACCTGTAAGCTGTGAAGCTGCGAGTATTTTCAGCTCCTAAAATGAGCGGGGTGGCCATACCCTCAAGGCTCGAAGTACCCAAAAACCCTAAACCCCAAACCTGTAATCATACACTTTGGAGTCCGTATGCCCCAAACCAAGTAACTGTAGTACAGGTGTTGGGCAAGTATATGTACGTAGGTGCGTGGCACGGTTGGTCCAAAACCAGCAGAATAATTTTCCTGGAGTTGGGTTTAGGCTTGAAGGTTTAAGGTTTAGAGTTCTGAGCTTGCACGCGAGAACCCAGCCAGGACTTCGAGATTTTTTGTTGTCTTGCGTACTGGTTCCAAATAGGGAATAAGGGAACATACTATATCAGAATTCCCTCATTTCCTACTTAGAACCAGTAAGGTTGGGAGTTGCCCTTGGAAGCATCCGAAATATCATGCCAATCTGCTCATCTGATAAGTCCTTACTCAGTAGCAAGGGAGCCCCCCAGATGCTGAAGTACATGAGCTATAGTCTACACTTGTTTACGGGATCATATAGGGTTTAGGGGCTAAACTACTTGAAGGGGTTATATCGGGGATTATATAGGGCATTTTACAGGGTTATTACTGTAAGGGTTCTGGAGGGGGATACAAGCGTTCCACATTCTACGGATGATAACACAAAACCTGCTTAAACTTGGGATTTGGCGTACTTTGATGTAAAGAGGTCGTGCAGGGTTTTCCGTAATCCCATGCCCCTACTACCAAAAATCCCCCACCCCCTACCCCACCCTAACACTAAATGTCCTCTACGTAGTAAATCACAATGGGGATATTCAAGGTTAGGCGGACTGGGTGGTGTCAATACTAGAAGGAAAGGATAACCAACCGAACATATAAGCCCTAAACCCTAAAACCCTAAACCCTGCATCCTCAAACCCTAACCCCTATGCCCTAAACCCCATAAAACCTAAAACCATAAGCCAGTAGACCAGCCTTGTCAAGAACGACATCGAAGCATTCGTCGGGAAAGTCCAGGACGCGTGCATCCATCTGCCCAAGACTAGTTCTAGCCTAGGGGTTTAAGGAATATGAAGGAATATGTGGGGTCAAGGATCTATGGTATGGGGATTATTTGGGGTTTAGAGTTTAGGTAATATTCGGGGTTAAGGATTTATGGCTTAGGGAGTGTTTTGGGTTTCGGATTCATGGCTTTGCAAGCGGTTGTTCCAAAGAATGAGGGCGGCGGCTTCTAGGGAGCTAAGGGATTGAGGGATCAACCCTAAACCCTAATCCCTTTTTGAGGGATCAACCCTAAACCCTAATCCCTTTTTGAGGTGCGTGTCTCTGTAAGACAAGTTGGTCCTGGTGACTGTGACGCTCAAGCCCTGTACAGGCAGGTTATTCAGAACGCCGCCAAAGTCGGGCCCAATCACGTGCGCACGCTTGCATCAGTGCATGCACGGCACGCTGGAGCAATGGTGCGTCCACACACTGGCTTGTGCATCCAAAAGAGGTGGCCAGGCGTGTACACTCGAGAAGGATGTCCTGCGAAGAAGAGGGGAAAGGGCTGCTGTGGTGTCATGGTTTAGCATGCGGCCGCGTCCTGGCGGGATGGGCATGATAGGAACGTCCTGCAAGGGCTCCAAAGCATCCTGCGGATCTCGAACGGAACCGGCATCATGAATCCTCGAGCCTCCTGCGGGGGAGGAGCATGGTAGAAGGGCTCGCATGGTATCGGCTTTGGGTGTTCCTGAGGCGCCTCCCAGGGTAGGAAGTCCTGCGAAGAACAGGGACAAGAGCTGTTATGAAGCCGATTCGCCTCATCTCTACCCCAGGAGCGCCACTGTCTACAATGGATACGACCACGTTGCAAGAACTGCATCCAGGAATGAGCGGTCCTGTTGCCATGCATACGCGCCCGCCAAATCCTTATGCGGCCAACAAAAGCTGGTGTTGTACGCTCTCCCCTAAACCATACGTCTTAAACCTATCCGTGGAGCTGTGTGTGCCATGAAGCTTACATGTTCAACATAGCCTGCAGACGTAAATCCTGAATCTTTCACTTCCCTAAAGTCCTGTCCTCTTGCAGCCCAAAATGTTGGGCTTAGTTTTCTCCACTTGCATATCGAATGACTATCTAGGATTGTCAGACAAGCCCATGCAGAAGGGCTTCTGTATCGATCATTAGCTTCTCTGAAATGTCTTGCACCAGGCGTTGTACACCCTAAACCGTAAACCCCAAACCCTGAACCCTAGACTCCTTAAACCCCAGACCCAAAACGCTTAAACCCAAGGACCCCAAACCCCCCTCCGGGTCTAAATTGTCATACTGTCGCCTGCTAGGTAGCTGTACTATATCTCGATCAACACGAGAGTAGCAGTAGCAGCAGAACTTGTAATTGGGTTATAACTGTACCTACCATGGGCTATTAGACCCTAAAATTCCCTATTAGGACCCTATTAAGGATAGATTAAGGTACCCTAAAGGTCTAATAACCCATAGTGGTAAGTAGAGTATCATTAGCATTACCCCTTGGATCCTGCCACGGGTCTCCATGTATACACATATGCACACTCCAATATGTCATACCCCTCAACCCACCACCCTGAACCCCAAATCCTGAACTCTACAGCCACAAGCCTAAATGTGAAAACCCTAAGCCCTAAACGCGAAACAACAAATCCTAACACCCTGAGCCCTGAACGCTCAAACTTGAAGCCTAAAACCTGCACCCACAGCTCCCTTGGAAGTTTCACCATATTGAGGGATTACAGTAGTACGCCCCCCAAAGGTACCCCACCCAGGGTTTAAGGAATTAACAAGGACTATATAGGGCTTACTAAGGCCTAATAGGGTTCTAAATCTGGGGGGGGGGTGTACCTTTGGGGGGGGGTACCTTTGGGGGGGGGGGATTGTAATCCCTTACATATATAATCTTTGATAGGGACCGCCATGATCCCGTTATAGTCCTTTATATGTCCTGACTTGGAGGGTCAGGGGGACTTAGTAAGTAGGTTGAGAATCCCTACAGCCCACATAGTAACCCTAGTTATCCCCATTATTAACCCACTCACTAAGTCCCCCTGACCCTAAACCCTAAACCCCAAATAATATGTAGTAGCTTCCATTCTCTTTTCCATTATATATCCTGAAGGTTCCTAATCATAAGAGCACCCTATACCTAGTCTTTCCAGCCACAGGTCAAGGCCTGTAGGAATTGCAGGGCTGTCTTCCCTGAGCTAGCTCCGGCGGCTCTCTCAAAATAGGGCAACGTGAGGGGAGGAGGCTGGGAATATGTAGGTACTAAGAAGGGTTTAGGGTTTAGGGTTTAGGGTTCAGGGTTAGATTGGTGCCATCAGAAAGGTTCTGTCAGGACTATAGTAAAACTTAACCACTCAGCCTCCCTACCCTCACGGCTACAATTTTCAACTCGAAGGTTTTAAGAATTAGGGATATAGATTCTAGGACGCAGGCAAAATGCCCGTGGGAAGTGTGTAGAAGGATTATAGAGGGATGGTGGAATTACAGGTGCCCTTAGCCCTAAACTTTAAAGCCTAAACCCTCGACCCTACTATAAGATCCCCAGAGGAAGGCACCATAGGCCACAGGTGCATGGGCAGTTGTCTTTGTCGGCCCCGCTGTGGGCTGTACCCTAAACCCATTAGGTCTTTAGGCGTAGGGTGTTAAAACCAAGCTCGTTGGGACACAAACCTTGAATTTCAAACTTCAAACCATTCTGAACCCCAAGCTCTAAACCCCAAACCCTACTTGGAGGGTCAGGGGGACTTAGTAAGTGGGCTAATACTGGAATGACTAGGGTTACTATATGCACTGTAGGGGTCATAAACCTACTTACTAAGTCCCCCTGATCCTCCAAGTGCCCAAAGTCCTGGACCGTAAATTCAAAACCCCAAGCCACCTAAATCCCCCAAACCTCCATCCCCAGAGCTACATTTGTATAATCATAAGTTGCGTATATATATATATATATTATTTATTTATTTTGTATTTATACTTAAATACGCATATCCCTGAACCCTAGACCCTAAACCCCTAACCCCTAAACCCTAAACCCTAAACCCTGAATCCTAAACCCTAAACCCTAAACCCCCTTTCGCAAGCCAAGCTTCCATGATGCTGACTGCGGCCTTTGGCCAGGCGAACGGCTTCGGCCTTGGCGCTTTAGTGTTGAAAAGGGTTTAGGGTTTAGGGCTTAGGGTTTAGGGTTTAGGGTTTTAGGGTTTAGGGTTTAGGGTTTAGGGTTTAGGGTTTAAGGTTTAGGGCTTAGGGTTTAGGTTGTTGGGGTTTAGGCTTCACCTAGGCCCCGAAAGTATGTAGAATAATGGCCTTTTGGGCAATGCTTTATATTCCCCAAATCCGCGGCCAGAAAGTTGGAAAGTCATGTTTTTTCCACCGGATCTCTTAGTGTAAAGCGTGCGTACACTGTGGTTCCAGCTTGCAAGTCCGTCCAAATGCACAAGTTCCAATTCAGGGGTTTAGGGTTCAGGGTTTAGGGATCAGGGTTTAGGGATCAGGGTTTAGGGTGTAGGGTTTAGGGGTTTAAGGTTCAGGGTTTAGGGTTCAGGGCGAAAGGTTTGGGTCCAGTATACAAAGCATTGAGGAACAACATCGATGAGGAAGATACTGACAACCGAACTAGCAAAGCAAACCACAAAGACCATGCCACCTAGCACTGTTCGCATACCCCAAAGGGTCCACGTGCCCAAGTCATGAGGCTACAATTTGTATCGTAGTTGGTACCTTATGGGTACCTGGAACCTTAGGGCACCCCACGAACCCAGAACACTGAGCCGAAACCCCAAACCCTAAACCTCTGTCCCGTACGCTCTAAACCCTATAAACTTCTAAACCATGGCCTCAAAGCGGTTATACATGGGGGAGATTTAGGGAATGTATCGATGTACTGGACCTAGGACACCCTTAAAGTGTGTAGAATAGCGGTCTTTTAGCTCTGTTTTGGGCTAATGCTTTATCTAGTATTGAGGTGCAGGAATTGCAGTTGAATGCTCGTCGTAGTGACGCTGCACCTTCCAACCCTAAACCCTAACCCGAGAATATCCAGACAGATTCATCACAACTGCTACTTAAACCCCAAAAGTAGGCAAAATAATGGCCCAAAACCCCTAAATATAGCCCAAAAGGCAATTTCTAGGGATCCATGTATACAAATAATCCCTACATTGGGTCCCAAAGTGTGTAAAAAATATTACCTACATTGGGCTATTTGGATCCCTAGGGAATTATTTTACATACTTTGGGGGGTTCAGGTAATCGCCGACTGAGGGATCTCCGCCCTAAACCCTAAACCCTAAACCCTAAACCCCGCCTGTAGAACCTTCCCCAAAATTGGGGGCTTAGGAGGACCCCCCACCCTGTAATAGAGGTATAATAGGAATATAAGAGGACGCTAATATCATCCTTATTATTCCTTATAGTCACTATTACTGCGTTGGGGGTCCACCTAAGGGATACCTTTGTGGGGGTCCCCGCAATAGGGATTCGATAGTTTTGAGGTCTATATTGTTGTGTTCCTAGTCATGTAAACTGTCACTTTCCAATGCGGGTCTAGGAGTTAGGCGTCGTCATGGCCTCCAAGCTCCAAGCCTATGATCGGAAATTAATTGGAAAGTGGCAGTAATCATAGGAGATTCTATAAAACTTATGAAGTTACGTTGGGCCCAGAGGTCTGTACATGGTACCTACATGGAGCATTTAGGCAAGAATTGATGTGAACGCTCCAAACCCCTTACCCTCAGCAATGTTTGCCACGCGTGCTGCCAGGGCAGCGCAGCAAGAGAACACGTTTTTCAAACTGGTGGTTGCGCAGACGAAGAACTTGACGACATCCCAGGTATTCCAGTCGTTGCATGATCCTAAACCCTAAACCCCTAAACCCTAAACCCTAAAGGCTTCATCTTCAAAGCTTGTCACGGATTCGGGATCTCCACGGCGAGGGGACTTCCAAACGTTACTGGGTAGTACAGCCGCAATACATGCGACTCCTGGTGCTCGCCACGGAGTTGTGAATCTTCAATCTCTCCAAAGCAGTGCACGGTTCGAAGGCTGTTTCCTCAATTTCGGTCAGCGTTTCCGGGATCTTCACGCACTTCAGGGCGGTGCAATCTTTGAAAGCTCTGCCCCCGATTATGATCACGGAGCTTGGAATATTCACTTCCAGCAGGGCGGAACACCTCTTAAAGGCCTCATACTCAATTCTTGTCACCGATTCGGGGATCTCCACATGTTTCAGGGCAGTACAGCCGGAGAACACGGCATTTCCGATTCGGGTCACGGAGCTGGGAATCCTCATGATCTCCAAGGCGCTGCACGCTGCAAAGGCTCCGTCCCCAATGCCTACCACTGACTCAGGGATCTCTATGTGCTCCAGAGCTGTACAGCCCAGGAAAGCATACGTTCCAATTCCTCTGACGGAGGTGGGGATCTCCACTTTTTGCAGGCCTGTACACCCCATGAAAGCTTCATGCTCAATGTGTGTAAGGGATTCGGAGATCTCCACATGATTCAAAGCAGTGCAACCGGAGAACGTGGCGTGCGGAATGGAGGTTACAGAGTGGGGAATCTTCATGGTCTCTAAGCCGCTGCATTGCGTAAAGGCTCCATACCCAATGCTGGTCACGGAGTCGGGAATCCTCACGCACTTCAAGGCGGTGCAGAATCTGAAAGCCCGCTCCCCAATTCTCGTCACAGAGTTGGGAATTTCCACTTCTTCCAATGCTGAACATGACTGGAAGGCTCCATCCCTGACATGGGTTGTACCCATTGGAATCTCTACAAAGACCAGTTCGCTTTCTGAGCTCGATGTTCGGTCCGCAGCCTGGATGATGTTCTTGAAGCGAACTAAAGTCAAGACCTGGGAAATAAGAAATTTTTGCGGGGCACTATAAGGACAACTAAGGACAATAGTAGTTTTAGGGTCTACATCGGGGTCCCCTTGTTCCAAGCCACTACCATATGGGGATAGCAAGAAGATGATGGAGCTTGCCGTTTGCAGAACCTTCTAGGTGTGATTTTGAGGGACTCACGCCTGAGGTTCCCACACCTTGCTGTGAACCTCCAGGACTTCCGCAGTGTCAGTCACCAGGCGTGCGCAGTACCCAGCTGGCAGCCTGAAGGCGTCCTGGTCCAGAAGCTTGGAAACAGTGGTCCCGGGCTCCACATGGAGGGCTGTGCAGGATCCATTGGGATCTTGAATGCTCAACTTGACAGGAGCACTCGCCATCGCATCGAAACTCGAGATTGAGCCTCGTGTCGGTCATGTGGTTCTATGGTATACGGCTCATTCAAACTGCAGATGGTCCCTGAGAAAGCTGTCGCTCAAACAACATGCACAGAGTGATGCTTCTGCCTCCCCCCAACCATTCATAATATACCATAACATACCATAATGTACCTTAATATACTGTGACATACCATAACATACTATAGTGTACCATGACATACCATACCATACCATACTATAATATGTCATAATATACTATAATATACTATACTGAAAGATACTATAATATACTAGAATGAACTATAATGGACTATAATGCCTGCATGCAGCCCTAATCCGGTGCAGAGCTTGGGCCCCCGAAACAGGATACTGCGCCTTGTGCCGGTCATGCCGTACCTACGTGGCACTGAACTTTCGGAAGCCCAAAACACAAGAACCATATGAGCTATATAGGCTATAGTCTGAACTCCTAGCATGCCCCTTCATAACCCCTATAGTAGTCCTCTATATGATCCCCTATATAACCCCCTTTAAGGAGTTTAGACTATATAGCTCATATAAGCATCTACCTGGAGGGTTGATGGGGCTTCACAAGTCCTATAAGCATGCCTGTGATCCCTAGAAAACATATGATGACCCCAGGTATCTATCTACATGGTTGACCTACTTCAGAATACTTATTTGGTAGTCCCATTCTGAGCCCCGCATGCCCCCAAAGAATGCATTCCTTTCTACTCTATCATGGTGCAACCTCGGCCCTAAACCTTAAACCCCCAAACCAAAACCCTAAACCCTAAACCCCAAAATCTGAAACCCTAAACCCTAAATCCTAAACCCCCAAAATCTGAAACCTTTAGCCCTAAACTTTTCGGAGTTCCTGAGCCGGCTGCTGAGGTATCTATGGCCGTCACAAGCTCCCATCCGTTCTCAAACAACCGGAGAGGAATCTGTGCAAGGCATTGGGTTTAGGGTTTAGGGTTTAGGGGCTGATGTAGGGTTTAGGGTTTGGGTTTGTAGGGGGTAGTATGGGGGTTATATGGGGATTATACTAGGCATGCGGGCTATATGGGGCTTATATAGGGTTTTTAGGGCTTGGGGTTTAGGGTTGGGGCTTATAAGGGGTAATATAGGGGTTACATGGGGATTGCATGCCAGTAATATAGGGGTTAGACAGGGATCATGGAGAAGAATGAAGAAAGTACGGGGTTTAGGGGCTAGAGTTCAATCATCCAAGCCTGCTTAAAGTAACTAAAGCCTCTAGTAGAAAGAGGTGAACCCAAAAACCTACAACCTCCCTGAAACCCCAAACCCTAAAACCCTTAACCCTTTGTCACCTTGAAACCCTAGACCGTAAACCCCAACAACACGAACCCTAAAACACAAACCCCAAAACCATAAACCCTAAAACCCAAAAGCCTAAAACCCTAAAAAATCACCCAAACCCCAAAACCGTACACCCCAAAACCTCCTAACCCTAAAACCTAAAACCCTGAAACTCCAAATGCTAACGCGTTGCAGGGTGTAGAGCGCAGGGTCCGCTGGGATCTTAGGGAACTGCCCACACGCCACCACTTCATTAGAGTTCAGGGTTTAGGGTTGTGGGTTTTGGGGTTTAAGGTTTTGGGGTTTAGGGATTAGGGTTTTGGGGTTTTGGGGTTTAGGGATGAGGGTTTTGGGGTTTAGGGATGAGGGTTTTGGGGTTTAGGGATCAGGATTTGGGGGTTTGGGGTTTTGGGTTTTGAGTTCAGGGTCCTCAGATGCGTTTGAGAGGACGTGGATTGTCAGACAGCTATCTGAGTAAGTGAAAGCAGGAAAGACTGAGTCATTACACAGCAGATGAGGGTTCGAACTATGATCTCTACATAACGCCTACATGCCCCCTACGTAACCCCTACTTAACCACTTAACCCATATAAAAACCTATTGCAGGTCACGACGCATGCCCTGACCCTCTAAGCACTTAGTTCCTTTTGGGATCTAGGGTTTAGGATTCAGGAGAACTGGACCCTAAAGCAGGAGCATTTGTCCCCCAACACTAAACCCTGAAACACAAACCGCGGCTGAAATGAAAAATTTATGTGAATAACAGCTTGTTGGCCGTTTTGTGTGGGCCGTTTTTGGCCATCATCTTACCATACTTATACTGTTCAGGTTTCGGGGGACCTGAAGCCCTCAACCCGAAACCCGAAAGCCGCAAACCTTAAACCCTTGTCCCCAAATGTTGGTGTCCGTGTTCTTTTCCATGATCCCTGTAGAATCCCTATGTGATCCCTTCACAACCTCTATACGGTCTCTACCTAATCCTATCTATTCACTTTGTAAACCCTAACCGTATCCCTATTTGACCCCTATAGAGCGCCCTCGACCCTAGACCCTTTATAAACTCCAAACCCTAAACCCTGAACTCTAAACCCTCAACCCTAAATCCCTAAACCCTAAACCCCTAAACCCTAAACCTTAAGCCCTAAACCCTAAGCCTTAAACCGTAAATGCTT